GGACATATTCTATACGACACATGTTGCTTCTGTAATACGTGGATTTGTAGTGCATATGAATCTGCTAAGAGGAGAGAATCCTGATATAGGAAGATTGTGGCTACTTAAATGGGGGAAAAAAGATTGGAAGTACAGTAAGATTATGCTCAGAAAATATAGAGTGTGGCACATGTTGCTTCTGTGATTGCTGTTATTAAAACTGCTAAAAGGAAGCAATGCTGGACATACAATACAGGTCCACTTAGCATCAGTATGTAATATATGTACTATAAATGATAAGAAACGTTTTATCATAGAAGTATCCATCATGATTGTTATCGGTGGGTCATAGGATTTATATAGTGCAATATAGTCAATTGTTTGGGATATAAAATTAAATTAAAATGAGCACTTTAGGAGATTGCTGTTTGAAAGACAGATGAAAGATCTGTCATTTTAAGTAAGTTTTGCAAAGGTGTATGCTTATTCTTTTTTTGTTTTCTAATGCATAAAAAGGGTATTTTTGCTCATATATTTGAGAGAGGTTGCAAGTGCAATTCCCCAGTTTCAGTCTTTTGAGGGAAAGAATTAATCAGGTTAATGGGAGTGCACCGCATTAACGATTCAATGTAGAAATATTAGAAATGAGGTGTGGTGGCAGTTATTTTTAAAAAAAAATTTCTAACTGACAGCTGAAATCAACTACTGACAGCCAAAATCAACTATGCTTGTCACTCTCCTGTGGGTCCCTGTTTGTCACTTGAGAAGCAGAAGATGGGAAAATAACAATGTGGGAGCAGTGAGTGAGAGTCCCTAATCTCTGCTGGGCAAAGAGATCAAGAGCTGACCGTTCAGTTACATTATCACTCAGCTCCCAGTCTTAGAGCCAGCGTAATACAGGTGCAGTGTCCCACGCCGGCTCTAAGCATCGGAGAGAGTATGTTTTACCCTCCCTGCATTTCTCTATTAAATTGCAATCATATTTCAACTGATTACTTCCTTTTAAATACGTGTTTTGTATTTCCATACTTTTTATGAGTATAAACTTTATTTTTTTGCTGTTTGGGCATTAAAGGCTTTGAAAGAAATTACCAGGCCCTGGTCCATTAAGGTTGAGAACCATTGGCCTAGATGCAGGACAGACTCAATAAAATGTTGTACCTACAAGAAAAGTGAAGATTAAAATTGGATTCTTGGCACACATGATTCAATCACAAGTATTCATTCATAATAATGTGAATCCTTAGCAAAGTGATCCTTCAAAATTGGATCATTTTTTTTACTGGCAGACGAAAAGACACATGGACATTTACAGACTGGGTTTTTTTAGCCTAATTTTTATGGCTTGTCCATAAAATAACACAAGGTTAGCAGCCCTGGCAGACAGGAAGGGAGGCTGCTGCCCAGTAGTGGAGAACCACTAGTCTAAGCTATGCAGAGTTTTGTAAAAAAATATATATTTTGCAGTGGCAACCAACAAGATTCTGCCTTACCTAGTTACTTAGTTAACATATATTCTCTTTGCCCTATATTATGCAATTTAGTTTCTTTCTTTCTGTACGTGTCAGCATACATTAATAATAGGCATCTGCATCCATCTGGCCTGATTAGAGATCTCATATATCTTGTTTTTTTTTTTCTATGGATGTCCCAGTTTTATCACTGGTAATATTGAACAAAATGCTTATTTTTCTAAGCCTTCAAATTCCTCATAAAACTGAATTAATAGGAGGTTTCTTCGTCTGTTTTTTGTAAATGGGTCAGATGTGTGATACGACAAAACTTTGCCCCAGCTTATGTGCCTTGGATTGTTAAAAGAGGAAACTTGTGTGCCTAGGTACTGCGATTAGGACATCACAGCAGGGCATTAGGAAAACGTCATTTCTGGGGGCAATAAACACAGAAATTTTCAGCCAACATTAACCACTTTAAACAAATGAATGCAACTTACCACCAAAAATTTCTGTTCATACCATGAAATGGTCTATGTGGTTGATGTTAGTGTTTATTTGCTGTGGTTGTTTTGGTGGCTAAAATTTTGTTGTACATACTTACAATTGCCTAAATTAATTTTGTGTGTGGTAGGTATAAGAGAGGTCTACACGTTTTGTTTTGTTTTTTTGCTAGGAGAAGCTTTGGTGACCCCAAAACTTCCTTCAAGTGACTATTTTGCTAAACTAAGACCAAAACCTTAGGTCACTTTTTTCAGATGATCAAAATTCCCAGCATTTAAATTCCTCTCTGAGTGTAATTTCCTGTATTTCAAATTACTGTGTTTCCTGCCAGCCCTTACTAGTTTATGTTGCACTTAGGCACATCAATGTTGATTTTAAATTCATCTCTCAAGCTATTTTTGAGTCTGCCTGAGATATATGTTAAAAGTGTAACACTACCCCCAGTGGAGCTGCTGGTTAGTTCTGTTTTCCCCAGTGATGATGCACGCTGGCAGAACCCAATCTAACTGACACACCTGTGGCTTAAATAAGCTTTATTGTAATGTAAAAAGCCCTGTAGGGAGCAAAAATAATGAATGGACAACAAACCACAACAGTACGGCACATTAATGCAAACACAGTAGTACAATGGAGCAGAACACAATTGTAAACAAATGAAGACATTGTACTAATTTGTCATAAGTCTCTAAAAAATAAATCAAGGCAACTGTAATTGCTGTATTTTTCTTGAAGACGTTTCACTGGTCATCCAACTGGTAATCAGCTGAATTAATAGGAGGTTCTTCTACAAGGCGCATAAGCTTGGGCAAAGTTTTGCCGTATCACACGTCTCACTTCTTTACAAAAAAAATGACCAGTGAAACGTCTTCAAGAAAAATATAGCAAGTCCAGTTACCTTGATTTTTTTTTTTTACAGAGGTACTATGACCTGGATGAATGAGAACCTTCACAGACAATTTGTCATAAGGTACAGCACTCTGACAAGGTGGTCTGGCTCCGTGTGATCTGGGAACCACAACAAGCCTAGTTCTTATACATGCATTAAATTTACACTAGTTTAAAAGAAAACCATTTGCCAAATTGATCATATTGTTTAAATTAAACATCCCAACTGGAAATAACACTTGTCAAGTAAGTAACCCTATAGTGGACAATCTACAAATAAATAAATCCCAAGTATGTAAAAATCTAAAAGCCTCTCCAAAATATATTAAATATCTGTATGTCAAGCCATTCTTTTCTTTTGTTTTAGATATAGTGGGGACAGGTTAATACCCCTGTCAGGTTTTTACAGCTTTTGGTGCTCCATTAGAGAGATTTTACTTTACTCTTTGTGCAGGTGACAAAAGAAAACTGACGAGGAAAGATATTGTATCAGTCTAATGTACCTACTCCTAATCCTTATACAAAGTGGTTGGTTGTATAGACCCCAAATACCTGGACAAATCTAATAACTTGATTCAAACCTACTTAAATACCACAACACTCCCTCACATAAATCCTGTCACCACACAAAACCTCAAACAAGATCTGGCAGACTTAGAGCTGCACAAAGCTCTTATGACGATGGCTCTTGGTAAAAGTTCAGGACGGATGGTTATACCGTAGCCTATAATAAAGAATTTAAGGACATTCTAATTCCTGCCCTCGGTACACATGTAGTATTCTATGATGCACAGCCAACAACTCAGCCCAAAAACATTTCTTGCACATGTCCTAGTAATACCAAAGCCTGGTAAAGATCCTACTTTACCTTCCAGTTATTGTTCAATACCTTTATTAAACAACATCTCCAAGTCATCTTATTGACTTGAATCAAAATGGATTTATCTTGGGTAGTGAGGTGTGGGACAATGTCCTGAAAACAATTTCGCTCACGTGCTTTGTACTTCCAACAACCCCAGTCCCTATACATGCCTGTATTTTCTAGATGATGCATGTTTCCCCACCTTTAAAAGGAAGTGGTAATATTTCATTATTGTTATTTCTGTTCTTAGTGGTAGTGGTAATTGCAACATTTGAAAACATCTCCAGTTGTTAAGTCTCAAGCACTGCAGCTCTTCCCCCAAGCAGGTCTTAAAGAAAAGCTACACTGAGGAAGATATGTAGGCTGCCATTGATTACCTCCTACTGAAAATGCTGGTTGCTTGACTCTTAATCACTTCAATACTTTGTCACTGACCAGGAACAAGCTTATGACAGGGTGGGTTGAAGTGAAATAAAGCATTCAAAACGATATGCTGTATGCAGTGTTTTTGATGCCCATGTAAATGAATCCTTAAATACAGGTCAAAAAGAGGAAAACTGCAGGTCCTCTTTTACACATGTGCTTATTGTTGTGCTACTTATGACTTCAGGTATTTGCAATTATACCATCTATTGCTCAAATATGCATATTTTGCAGTTAATGCAGTGTTTTGTGTTTTTATTTATTTTTTATAATTTCCTTCAAGTTTATGTGTGAAAGAAAAGTGATAATATAGTCATAATATGGGTATAGGTATAATAAAGAAAATAGAATTCTCCCTCTTGGGATTATGCTGCCCGCCTAGACCATAACCTTTCCACAAACTCGGGTTTGAACTTACACATTTTGCTTTTAGCTTTACTTGGAGCAGTGATGTTACTTGTATTCGCATCCCCAGCTGGATTTCTCATAGGACTATTTGGAGAATCAGCCCAGTTGTAATTAATGTACTCATTAGCATAAAGCTCTGGAGTAACCGCTTTATGCTAAGTGGTAATTTCACTTCTTTTTTTGCATTATGTCAATGAGTCACTTTAATACTTTTCCTCCTTAGAAGTACCTTCCTAAGGAGTAGCTTCACTACGTTCCCTGAAATAGTTGAATTGCCTGCTTAATGCTAAGGAGTAGTTGCACTACTTTCCTTGCTAATGGGTAGCTTCACCAAACCCAGTAATGTTTAATATTTACCTAAAAAAATACCTATTAAGGGTTTACATTAACTATTAAAGCGTCTAAGTGTGAGAAAAAATGACTTATTTTTAAATTGGCACATACAGAATTTAAAAGATTTGATTAACAATATGGTTGTACCATTTCAGGTGCAGCAGGTACAGACTGTTCAGCAGGTGCAACACGTCTACCCAGCACAGGTACAATATGTCGAAGGAAGTGATGCTGTCTACACAAATGGAGCAATGTAAGTTTTTTTAGGATTTCTTTTAACATATTTTCAAATGTATATTTGTTTTAAATGCTCTCCTTCCAGCGCTAGGCCACATCCAAAACACAGATGAAAGCCACTGAGCAATTATGATAACAATATAGGAGCACATTATGATGGTTTTTACCTTTTGAGCATATACCAGAAAATACATAGACTCTGTAATGATCTTTTTATATAACTTTTTGCACTGTAAATGTCTTATTTTAAAAATAATAACGTCTGTTTAGCAACACTGAACGAATCAAAGGTAGATATCAAAAAAGGTAAGCAAAATGTATTTTTTATTTGCTTCCCAGTTTGGATTGATTCAAACAGGCAGAAGTGTTACCAGTTTTTAATGCAGTTTCACAATTATTAGAAATGTACTCAAATCAAAGCACCTTTTAACTGGAATATCCACACTGATGGCTTGTTCACACCAAGTCTGGAGCAGATACAGAGCGTTTTCAGAACACATCAAAAACGCATCCAATGTATTCCAATGGTTTTTCGGGCTCTAGTTCACACCAGTGCGTTCAGTTCCAGTGCATGTGGAAAAACTGCAGCAGGCACTGTTTTTTCTGCTTTGTAACGCTCTGGAACGCACAAAGACACATCAAAACGCATGTAAATCCAGAGTGTAACAACGAAAAAAGCCAGAGAAGTTTATCTACTGTATCAGGCCATTCAAACATAGGGAAAGTGAAGCCTTTTATTGGGCTGTATCCCAGCCAGCAATACATTTATAATACTACTTGGAGTTACATCTTAAAGCAAACTACTTAGGTGAAAAATGCCGAAGCGGCTATTGATGACCTCTTTCTGAAAATGCAAGTTGTTTGGTGGTTTTGCAGACTCACCGGCAATAAGTGACTAACTCGGACCAAACAGATAAGGGAAGTCATTAAAAAAAGTCCTTCTCCGCTACACAAAATGCACAGAAAACATGCATATTTGATGGCGCTCAGGTGTGAATGAGGGCTAACAGTGTGTGTTTTGTAGGGATGCACCGATACTTTTCGAGTACCAGTGCAGATACTTGGCATTTTCACGAGAACTACCAGGGTTGCAGCGGTTGCAGCTGGGACCTGGCTCTGGCGCTCCACCACTGTCCTGAAATCATTAGTCTATATTGTTTTAGAAAAACTGTCACATGACGATAAACAAAAATGTATCAGTACTCGTACTTGTAAGTACTTGGGCAAGTATTAGTACTTGTACTCGCAAAACTGGTATCGGTGCATCCCTTTATATTTATAAAAACAAAATCATACATTAAAACAGAGATGCACAAATCCCAGGAGCTCCGTGTGCTCCTTACAAATGACAGCTGCTTCCTAACTTTTGGATTTTTCTCTAGTCTAGTCCCGGACCTGGAAAAGTATCGGCACCTGTACCAAGTACTGTACTTGGTATCGGTGCATCCCTAGTTTTAAGTAAAGGAGTTTTGTGCTTCCAGTCCCACTACAGCTAAAACTGTTGCCTCAGTACTGAGTGGTTTAGGATAAGGTGGTTAGGTATACCTACCAAACATTAAAATATTGTTTTTAGGTGAAGTTGAACTTTAAGAAACAGAGGTATACTTGGCATTTTCACGAGAACTACCAGGGTTGCAGCGGTTGCAGCTGGGACCTGGCTCTGGCGCTCCACCACTGTCCTGAAATCATTAGTCTATATTGTTTTAGAAAAACTGTCACATGACGATAAACAAAAATGTATCAGTACTCGTACTTGTAAGTACTTGGGCAAGTATTAGTACTTGTACTCGCAAAACTGGTATCGGTGCATCCCTTTATATTTATAAAAACAAAATCATACATTAAAACAGAGATGCACAAATCCCAGGAGCTCCGTGTGCTCCTTACAAATGACAGCTGCTTCCTAACTTTTGGATTTTTCTCTAGTCTAGTCCCGGACCTGGAAAAGTATCGGCACCTGTACCAAGTACTGTACTTGGTATCGGTGCATCCCTAGTTTTAAGTAAAGGAGTTTTGTGCTTCCAGTCCCACTACAGCTAAAACTGTTGCCTCAGTACTGAGTGGTTTAGGATAAGGTGGTTAGGTATACCTACCAAACATTAAAATATTGTTTTTAGGTGAAGTTGAACTTTAAGAAACAGAGGAAACTCTTTCTGGGGGGGGATTAATGCTAAAAAGTGGGGTCGTAACATTTTTCACACACCTGCTGATAATATTTTGATGTAATTTATGAAAATCAACATATGTCTGAGCAGTGTGGGTTTAACAGTTGTCTTTAGACATAATGGAATTAACAGCTACATAATAAAGTGATGTCTTGTTTAAGAGAGAGAAACTAATTTGTAATACAGTAGAACATTAATATAGTAATGTGTAGGGTTTTAGAATGCATTAGTACTGAGTCTGAACATTAGATAACCTGATATGTTCAATTATGGGAAAGTCTTAGAGCAGGTGACTTCCACTCTGGCCCTTTGTGGCTTGTATATGTATGACAAAAAAAGGCTTTGTTAAAACTGGCTTTTGGGTGGCAGATGTTCAGCTAATTTAGTAATGTTCCGAGGACCAGTCAGATACATCATGCACATGAATCATGTACAACTGCAGTGCACACAGCTCATTTTATGTTTGCACATAGCTGTCATGAATATAAAGGTTTTACTTTTGCACTTACACTCCCTAGCTATAAGTTGTAAAGAAGCATGTACCAAAACCGAGATATTCCTCATCATCCAGTAGAGAATAAAGGCTTGTCAGTGGCTTCGTGTTCACATGCTTTTCTATCACTTTGCAGAGCAGATCTCATAACTGTGCTTGAGGTCATGTAAATTAACAGGGGATGTCATTTGTAATGTAATAATGAAACGGAGAGCAACTTATTTATGGTTTTCAATTATCATTCACAAGAGGAGTTAATTATGGTTCAGGGACTTCCATTTTTCGCTTGCTTGCAGAATACAGCTTTCTTATTTAATAATGCACAAGCCAGTGTTAAATTGTACTGAATATGATACAACTTGTTCGGGTAATTGAGTACATACAGATATAAAGAGGATCTATGTTGTGAATATGCTGTGAAGCACACGGCTTAAATTGTGATCAACACAGCCGTTCATTCGGAAAACTTAAAAATAATTTTATGAAGACCTGAATAAATTGATCATGAAGCCCTCCAATATTCTGCCCCACTGGTCTGAACCAAACTTCTGCTCAATTTCTTGTATTTACTTTAGAATGCAAAAATGAATACTTCCAACACTTTTGAAATTAATACACATAAAAGCTAGCAACATGGTACTTTTTTTAAAAGGTCTCTGAGTTCAATGTAGTAATTTATTTTTGTTTTTTTCCCCTATGTTTTGTCTTGTTTCCTGAAGCCGGACAACAACATACCCTTACACAGAAACTCAGATGTACAGCCAGAACACAGGGGGCAATTACTTTGACACCCAGGGTGGATCTGCACAAGTGACCACCGTGGTCTCATCTCACAACATGGTGGGCACTGGAGCAATTCAGATGGGGGTCTCTGGAGGACAAATCATTAGCAGCTCTGGTGGAACTTACCTGATTGGAAACTCCATGGAAAACTCAGGCCATTCTGTGAGTCACACAACCCGCGCCTCTCCAGCAACAGTAAGTCCAGTGTTAAGTATAATTTACAAAAGATACAGGTGTGAACTGACCATTGACCTTCTCCTTAGCAACTGCTAGTGACAGAAAAGATGTAGCTATTCACTGTGTATTTCCTTCTGATAACTAACTAGCACATATAATTTTTCCCTGGTAATTGTTACAAAGTGCTTGTCACCGTGGAGCTACTTGTCACTGGCTGAACCATGTTTCTCCATATACTGAAAAAAACATACAAAGATCTTTTAAAAATAGATTATATTTATCTGTGCTATTCACTTCCAATTCTTTCTTCCAATTTACTGTTCCTGTTGTGTTCTGCTTTAATGAGACTTATATTCTCCGTGGCCTTGATATCTTAGCTCATGGGAGTGTTCATGACTAATTGTGAAATCTTTTTATGGCAAGATACTGATTATGGAGCAAGGGAAGAAGTAATGTCTGCGACATTCACCATGCATCTTTTCACAGATGGAAAATTATGATCTTTACTGTGGAAATTGTATAAGAGTAAAAATTTAAAAATGAGGATAAAAAGAAAATAATACTTTCAGTCCATAGCACTGTAATAATAGCGAGTTTTCTTCTCTTCACTCTGCAGAGTGAGTAAGGTCATTCATATACTACATGTTTATAGCAACAGTTTGCAGAAGGCCCTTTTCTTTTGCAGCATGACTGTGCCCCTTTCTACAAAGCCAGGTCTATAAAGACATGATTTGGTGTTGAGCAACTCGAATAACCTGTGCAGAACCCTGACCTCAGCCCAAATACATAACTTCGGAATAGCCGAATAGACACACATTCTTTTAGCCGAATAGACACACATTCCCACAGTTACACTTCTCCAAAAACTAGTGGAAAGACTTCCCCAAAGAGTGGAGGCTGTTGTAGCTGCAAGGTTGCCCATGGTTTTGAAATGGTATATCCTACAAGCTTATATAGGTGAAATGGTTATCTATCCAAAAGCTTTTGGAAAAATTGTGGAAATATTTGCATTTGCAGGGACAATAATTTAAAATGAACCTGTTGTTTCTGCTCTGCATGGGGAAATCCCAGGTTCACCTTTAAGGTTTCTAACAGATTTCTCACCCTTTACTAAAATATAAAAGGATTTCTGGTTTGGTGGTAGGAGAAAAGGCTCTTTAAAGAAACCAATGTATGTTATAGTAATATAAAAACAATATAATTGCATACTAAAATGTAATAATATACAGTTGTTCAGCAGATACTCCGGGGTTTCACACCTGAGCTGAAATCTGTGAGAGCTCACCTATGATGCTTGGGATTATCCCATTTAGAGTGTCATTACAGATCCATTATTGCACAATGTTTCAGCTAGTACATACCCCAGATGTATACAAAATATCAAATATGAAACCGTAGTATTTGGGATTGGTTGACTTTTCTATGGGTTTATGTCCAGCAACTAAGCAACAGTTACTTCATAAATGCTTCATTGTCAATTTACCTTATAAGCAGAATATCATTTCATTAAACTTGTAGACTTCCTTACTTTCTTGCTGTCGATAAAAAAAGATCTCTAAAAATGGATGCAAGTTCTCCTTTGCCAACCATTTTAATAATTTGCTTTTAATACCAATTGGTGGTTGGCCATTTACAGGTGCTTTTAAATGATCTGCGTCCACTAGCAGTAGAGACATTCAATTAGAAATGTTTTGTTTTTTTTTTAAATGGTGGAAATGACATGGTAACAGCAGTTAGACATTTACCTGTTATGCAATTTCTGTGAAGGCCAAATAAATCCGCAACTGGGTTGGGAAACACTACAAGCATCTACCCCCCCAAAGAAAAAACAATACCCATTTCTTTATATATTCTATATTAACAAGCTTTACTTGTAGACTGTGGATGATTCTTTCTTACAGTTCCAGCTACTTTATTGTACTGTACTGCGGGCTTGTTTTTAATTCAGGGGGTTAAACATAGTTAATATCGTATTGATTCAGTGTTCGTTTCAGACCAGATAGAATTGTATAAATTGCAGGGTAAAATTATTCATCCAGCTGTGAATTGAATCTGCAACACAATTCTGTCTTCCCTGCACATTCTTGATCACTTTCCCTTATACAACGTGTTATTCATATGCAGAGAAGAGCTTCTCACCTTAGACTCTGAGACACATTTAATTGGAACATTTTCTGCATACTTAGAAATTATATAAAAATCCCAAAATGGTTTAGATCGTTTGCAACCCATCATGTTGTGATGGTGCACTTCAAATTTTATGTGCAGCAGAAGGTTAAATAAAGGATTATTAGATATAAAGGTCACATCCCCAACTGATAGCGAACTGAAATGAATCATGTTGTTGGTATAATGAAAAAGAATCTTTATAGATGAATGTGTTGTTGAATAAATATTCAGACTTATTACACTGGAACTTAATTATATTCAGCTTTAGTTCAAAATGTTCTAGCCATTTTATCAGTTATTATGCTCATAGTTTCAGAATAAGAATGGAAATGTTCTGCTTCTGGTGAAAAATATATTCATTTGTGGCCTGCTAAACAGCCATTAATGATAAACCATGTGGTAGAGTATATGAAATATTAATTGATTGCTAATGCTATGTCATAGTTTTAAAGTTATATTAACTCTTAGAACATCTGAGACTGTTATTGTTAGGGGCCATATAGTGATCCCACTGAATTACACCACAGATAGCTTCTCCCAGTTGAAACGGCTAACAACATTGGCAAGATTGGCCCTATCATGGGTCAACACTTATACAGTGTACGTATACATAAAATTCCTGCATGGCGTCTCCCACCCCTCTAAGTTAGAGTAGCAAACATTAAACCTCAGATGCAGTGTGGTGCTCCACTACAGAGCCTGACTTACTGCTACGCTAGGCAGTGTTTACTTGCAATATACTTCCCAGCGCCTGTGCTCTAGTGCACAAGAATGTACAGTAAACTCCCAGTTATCCAGCATCCATGAGGATTGATAGATGCCGGATAACTGTAGTTTCTGGTTGCTTGAGTGTTACTATAATTGGAACTAGCCAATAGGAGAATGGCCATTGCTCCCGCTCACTGCCGTTGTGTATATTCAGCTGCCGGCTGCGGAATCCAGCCGCCGGTCAGCAGCAGCAAGTTATAAACAGAATTATTAAAGGAGAACTATGTGGTTAAGGCTTTTCCCGATAGTTCTCCTTAGGGTAACGGGAGGACACAAACTAGCATCCTCCCGTCACCCTAGGCTCAGTATACCGCGAGCTGTAGCTCGCGGTATACTGAGATGCCACAGTATATCGCGAGTTGCTGCTCCCGGTATACTGAGACGCCGCAGCTGAAGCGGGGCAGAGCCAGCTGTACCCGCCCCCTCCCTCGTCCGTTCCGCCAATCAGCGCTGGCGGATCGGAGTGGGGAGGGGGGAATCCAGCCCCCCTCTTGTCACGACAGAGAGCCGTGACAGGATCGAGAGGTGAGCGAACGCCGGTATGTGTTCGCTCACCTCCCGATCTACTGAGCCGACCTGTGACAGTCTCATTGTCACAGGTCGGCTAGAACTATGAGGTGAGTGAAAAGCACTCAACTCATAGTTCTCCTTTAAATAAATGTAGTTGCTATGGTAATTGTTTAGTGTGCACATGTCTATCCAGCAACTGCAAAAAATTGTCCTCGATTTTTTTCCCTGGCTGCTTGAGCGTGCTAGTTGAATGCCGGATAATGGGGAGTTCACTGTATAGATACTCTATAGAGTTGAATGGAAAAGGCCAACAAGTACACTTGTATCCTAGACTGAATGAAATAATCCAATTCCTTAGCCACCAGGGAGCATGGCGCTGGCTTCCTGATTGACCGGGAAGCTGCCTTCATGCTCCCTCGTCCACCTGGTCACGAGGGAGCATGGCGCTTGCCTCCCGGCTAATCAGGAAGCTGGGCGACGTGTAATGACTCGCAGGCCAGTTTCCTGATTGGTTGGAAAGCTGGCCAATCAGGAGGCTGGGTGGTGAGTCATCACCCACCCCCCCTGCTTCCTGATTGACCAGAAAGCTGGCTCCATGCTTCCTCGTTACCTGGTGACGAGCAGTATGGAGCCAGCTTCCCAGCTAATCAGGAAGCTTCCTTAATGGGACTTCCGGCATCGGAATTTGGTATCAGCGAATATCGAGAAAAAAATATCGGTACTCGATACCGAAAAACGAGTATCGGTGCATCCCTACACAAAATACATTGATCTACTTGGTATTTCAATTCTTTTACAATAGCAGTATAAGAAAGCTCACTAAAAAAAATGCCATATGATATCCCATAAATATATTTTCTTAACTTTTTTGCTCAGAAAAACGACATTATGTCTAATCTTAGGAACTACATATCTCTATATGCAGTGAAAGTATGCAATCAAACAATACCACATTACCTACTGAATTCAGTTGTATGCAATCATTCTAATATTGGAACCTAAAAGTTGGAGGGGCTGTTTCTCTGTTACCCCAAATTCCAGCTTTGCTGTTACTCCGGGTCTCCAAATGTATTGTAAACTTGTCAATTTTGAGATTGCGAGCACAGACTCCTGGAGCCTGCTTGATCTCCTTTATTTTGTACAAAAACTGTTATTATTTCAAAGCTACCTACTACAGAAACTACATTGGGTTGTTTTTTTTTATATGTAGTTTTATTTTAGATTAGCATTCTTAAAATCACATTTAAAATTTCAATTGCTGCATTTGCATATTGTCAAAAAGTACCAGTATTTTTCAAATAATTTTTTTAAAAATGAATCCTAATTTTACCATTTTAAATTATAAATAAATAAAAATTCCCTTGCAAAGTGCAATTTTGCCTGCAAAGCGCACATCCTACTTGCCTTTAGTAAATCAGCCCCATAGTAGTAGCTGCTGTTGGAAGCTAAGTGGTTAGATTTAAATATATATATATATAGGCTTACGAAAATTAGATTGACAGGACCTTTCTAATTTTTGCATGTTTCATGATCACCTTTAGGTGAAGAAATTATTATATCTGCTGCACTAA